GATATTCTTAAAAACCATTTTCCAACTTGGGAAAGAGTAAAAAGAAACCCATTCTGGGCAATGACTTTAACTGAAGCATTGGATGATACCAAATCTGATTATGAAATATATTTAGAATTGAAAGCGTTCTATAATTATTCCTACATATATGATATTGAAAATAAATTTAAACAGCTCTGGTTCATTGATAGTATTGATGACAAAAGAAAACACTTGAGAATTGGTTATTACGACGCAATGAGAGCACTGTTGGAAATGATGCCATTCAGAACAGAGGCAGAATGGCATATCCGATTTTATCATATATTAAGCACGGAAGACTTCTATGACGAGGATGAAGAATTTAGCGATAATGAAAGCACGGCTAGCTATTATTGAGATGAATGTTTCAGTTCTTGATTATACTATAGTTACAACATATAAGATCTTATATGTTGTAATTTTAGTTTAATTTTCCCGTATAAGCCGTGGGGGTGCTTTCCTACATAGGCCTTTCCCATCCGCATTTTGCCATCCATATTTTACTGGATTATTTTCAAGATTTGGGTTAACGGTTTTAATTCTCCCTTTTCCATTGGTTAACCATTTTTGGGGGAGTGATAATTTGTGTAGTATGGCGCCGGGAGAGCTTAGAAAATACGCAGTTAGAAGACACTTAAAGACATGATGGTAAATAGTAGTATGGAAAACTTACAGAGATGCAGTAGGTGCAGAAAACAGAAAGAACTAGGAGAGTTCAAGGATGGGAGAAAAGTATGTAATTATTGCCTTTCTACTGCTAAGACTTATCAACAAAATCATCCCGAGAAAATGGCGGAGAAATGTCATAAGTATTATGTCAATCATAGAAACGAGATTTTGGAACAGAAGAGAGAAAAACGACTTTGTGATCTTTGCAAAGTAGAAGTAGCTAAATCAGAATGGACGAAGCATTTAATCACTAGTCGGCACAAACGATATCAAATGATAGAAGCCGGGGAGAAGTTGGAAGCCGATCGTGGCGATTCGTGGTGGTGCGATGTGTGCCAAGTATTTTTAGCAAAGAAAACATCCAAGTGTAGCCATAATGGCTCGAAAAGGCATTGTGAATTAGCAAAGTCACAAGGAGTTGAGGAGTAAATGGGTTGATACATTTGTTTTGCGATGATTGTATCAATGCATTTGGGATATTTATTAATTTAATGGGTGGGATTTTGCGCAGTGTGGCGGGTGGAGTGGGGACAAAATGCGCAGTATGACGGCGGGAGAAGTCACCACTAACTCCTTGATGCGCTGATTGAAGTCATCAATGTTGAGACCCAGCGTGTTGGCAAGGTCCTTTTGCAGGGTGAGTAACCTGAACCAGGCGTACGTCCCTAATATCCATGCCTGACATGTCGCGAAGGTTGCCATGCGGAGTGTTGGCAACAGTCATGGGCAGGCTGAAGTTGTAGAGTTGATTGACATCAAACATGCCGTCTCCAGGTCAGTCAGGCGAGGGAGTAAGCCAGGCTTTCTGAGGACGAACCGGTAGAGCCGCAGGAGGTCCAGGTGACGGTGTAGGTTGGGAAGTAGTGACCGGTGGTGGCATCACTGGTGGCATGAACTTGGATGGCGTGGGATCAGGAGGGATCGGCATCATGTAGTTGATCGCCGGGTATTGGAATTGTTGTGTGGGGTTGTGAGTCGATTGAAAATTGGTAGGCATCATCGGAAAGTTGTTAGCAGCGTTGTAGCCGGAGTTGTGTTGCCATGAAACCAAGTTGTTCCAATCCATGTTCTCCGAGACCTGGTTGTCATTGTGCTCACGTCGGCGTGCTTTGTGAGCTTGAGGGGACGGACTCCGATCACGTCTGCGTCGAGTCCTGGATCTATCACGATCATCACGTCGAGACATGGTGACGCAACTGACTCTGAATTTGCACACTTCCACCTTGAGAGAATCAGACCCGACAACATTCAAATCAATGCAAATGCAAGTTAGCGGCCCTCAACTGCAATGGTCGATCGAAATGTACAAGGCAAAGCAAATACAAGTCAGCAATCGTCAACCGCAGTGATACGAGCAACATGTTCAACCAATGGTCAGGAAATGCAATGAAAATCGGCAACTATCAACTGTGGTGAGACGTCGCTATGATCTGACGGCTTTCTTCCCTTTAGTGAAACCTCGTTCCTGGTTAAATGTGAAATTCCGCTGTTCTATGATAAGCACGTTGAGGTCAAATTTTCCGACAGAGCCGGCCCGGGGTCACACAATGGGTACACCCGAGGATTCCCCACGAATGGGGTGTACACACTTGAACTCCAGATGGAGAATGCTAATCATTCGAGTACAACTGATGAGTCTCGAGTACAACCGACAAGTCTCGAGTAGGATGAGTTTCGGCTCGCAAGGCACTCGGTTTCCCTCTAGAGGCGAAAACGTTACCAGTTCCAACATGAAGCACACACAGCGCCGCAACCAAGGGGCCAAATAGACTTTCAGAATCACGCAAATGTTGCAGGTACACACGGGTGA